CCGGGGCGCGCTTGGGGAGAAAGCTGGCAGTCGCCCGTGGGCCGGATGCCGGCCCCTTCACCCCACGCTGCTTTGGCGGCTTTGAGCCAAGGGGCTCATCTCGCGGACACCACCTGAAACCGCTCACCCGTCGGCCTCCGGTCAGAGGCGGAGAAGCGAGGTGCACGTGGGCGAAGAAAGCGTGTTCAGCGTTGGCGTTTTTTTTCCTTTTTTATTATTTAAATAAGGAGAATTCTTTCATATGGAAAGAGCTATTACAATCACATATCTGAAAGGAGAAACAATAGTGGAACCCGAGCGACAGGGCAGAGGGCACCAGCAGCCGGCGAGTCCACCATCCCAGGAACCCCGGGCCACGGGGTGGGGCACCACCCGATTCCCCCAAGTAATGTAGAGACAAGCTGCACGTTACACCTTTAGCCATCGTCTGCCCTTTCAAATATCTGGTCTACATGAAAAGACAAAGAGAGGAAAGGCCAAAGTAAAAACAAAAGCAAACAAAAACAAGACACAACCTCAGAAACAGCAATCCAAAGTGCCCCAAACCCTTTCTACTATGCAAGGCGTGAGGTCAGAAGGTCGGAGTAAAGCATCCCCTTCCACGGCGGACGTCACCCACGCGGAGCCCACAGTTCTCTATTTCACGGCTTCTGAAGCTGCTGAAGACAGGGCCTCCCCGGAGCCGTCACGGTCCGGAGCGGGACCAGAGGGCAGGGAGCCGTCACGGTCCGGGAGGCCCAGGCGGCCCGGGAGCGGGACCAGAGGGCAGGCGTGGCGCCCAGGTGGTACCGGCAGAGGGGCCGGGCCCCAGCCCGCCGTCCCCGGCACTGGCTGCTCGCGGCCACTCGGCCTTAGGGTGCGCCCACCTCAGGCTGTAAGAGCTGGCTTCCGGGAGTGGAAGTCTGCAGGGCCCCGCTCTGAGGCCGCGCCAAGGCCCTGGCGGTGGGAGGCTGTTTCCAACAGAGCCTCTAACCCAGGCTTGCTGGGCGGGAAGTGAGGAGGGACAGACGCAGAGTTGCGCAGCAACATGCAGCTACTCGGCCAGGGTGGGGACCGACGGCTGGAGGGGCCTCGCCAGTGCGCCGGCGGCCGCGGGGGGCCGCCTTGAGGCGCTGAGCGAGCCCGTGCACACCACAGCGCCCGGCTCAGTCACAGACCTTGTCAGGGAGTAGAGAAGGCAGGTCCAACAGACAGGGCGAGGCCCAGCCGGAGAGACCCGAGTGGCCCGAAGCGGCCGCCGCCCGCCTTTAGGACCCGACCAGCCCTTTCTTCTGAACGTGTAATAGACTCATTCTTGGTCTTCCCCCGAAGGGACCTAGAGTGTCAAGAGAGGTGTGAGTTCCAAGTCTGAAAACAGTGATGTAGATAAAGGGGAAGGGACGGTAACCAGGCCCGACGCAGCCGGCAGAGGCCTTCGGCGGGTGGACACCGCTTCCCGCGCAGAGCCCCACGCTGCAGGTGGCCCCGCAACGCAGCCGACACTGGACACTGCCGCAGGGCCGCTGGCCAGGGCGGAGCTGCCAGCAGGAGCGCGCCCAGCAGCAGGGTGCTGGCCCTCCCAGGCTCGGCAGCAGCCAGCGGAAGCCTCTGTGGGGCTCTGCCCTCCGAGGATGGGGCTGAAATCAAAGGAAGACCCTACATCCTGTTAACTTTGCGCGTGACTCTAAAACCGCGTGAAAGGAAGAGATATTGCACCTTAAAAACACCTCTGCGCTGAAAACTGCATTTAATGAGACCACAGAAAGGCCGGGTGCAGGCAGGGCCCAGGACAGCCCTCTGCCCCTGCTCCGTAGTGGGAGGCGGCCGCAGTGTGGGCACACGGAGGCGGTGAACGCACCTGACTTCACATGCAACTCCCTGGCCTCCCTGCACAGAATCAGCCAGACGTTATATATAAATAGAGCAGTGAGACATTTACTTTTTTTCCACCTAGACCTACAACATCAATACATATAAATAAATTCTAGTGTTTTCTGTTTTTATTGGGGGCGGGGGTAGATCCAGGGTAGAAGGGACTAGAAAAGAGGTGACCCTTCCCCTCGCGTGGGAAGTGCTGTCGCTCTGACGGCAGCTCCGCCGGAGGGCAGCTCTGGAGTTTGTAACAGCATCCGGACTGTTCTGTTGTATTTCAAAGTGAGAAAACCTGTTTTCCTTCGACAGCTCCTGTTCCCGGGGTCGGGTGAGCAGGTCTGGCTGTGTTTTTCAGGGTACAGGCGACAGTGGGGGTGGGGGGCGCCCAGGGCAGCAGGCAGGCGGGGCAGGGGGAGAGCAGGTGAGCCTGTGGGCGAGGGCTGAGGTCCCCTCCGAGAAGGGACTCAAAGCGATGACTTGGGATAAAGTTCTGAAACAAAGAGAAGGTATCGGGGGAGGCCAGCCGGCGGACAGGGAGGAAAGCCTCTCTCGGACGCGCCCGTGGGCCCCGACTCCTTCCAGCAGCCCGGCCACTGACAAGACGCAGTCGACGCGCGCGTTCCGTGGTCAGCATGAGCAAGAGCCCAGAACCCCACCCAGGCCGCAGCGCTGTCCTGGGTAATGGCTAGCTACTGATGAAGGAGCACCTGCGAGACCTGCCACTTCCCCACCTCCTGGAAATGACCGAACCTGGGTGATTTCCTTCTGTTTCTAATTTAGAAATAAGCCGAGGCCGGCAGGAAACGGCTCACGCACGCCAGTGACTAGCAGTGGCTGCCCCGGCCGTGGGGGCTCTGCCGTCTGCCCTGCTGCCCAGCGTGGGGCCTCCCCTGACAGCCGGGGACCAGCTGGGAGAGGGGACGGTGAGGGGAAGCTCCCCCAGATTACAGGCCCTCTCACTGGCGCCGAGCAGCTCCCAGGCCGCCCTCACGCACAGAGCCGTCATCAGCCGCCTGCCGGGGTGGGGCTGGAGGACAGGCTTGAGAAGGGGGGAGAGGGCGTGTCGTGGGAAGCTCCCGGACAAGGGAGTGCAGGCTGTGGCCCCCGAGATAGGCATCTGGGGCGTGAGCTCACGTCGTCCAGGATAACCAGAAAACACCAGGGACAATCTCCATGATTCACCTCGGGCAAAGGGGCCAGCGTGTCCATGGGCTTCTAGAGTCCGGATGGGAATCCTTATGCCAAGAGCCTTCTTCACCGGGCGGCACAAGCTCCCGGGCGCCGTGGCGCAAGGGGACCCCGGCTGAGACGCCAGGAGCACGCCGCCAGGAGCACGCAGCCCACACCACGCCGGGGGACGTGGGCCGGCACCAGCACCGGCCTGCGCCAGCTGGGCAGGCAGCCGACTGGGGGCAGGAGGGGCCTTCAGCTCGTGAGCGGAGAACCAGGGGGAACTGAGCAGCTGGCGCAGCAGGCTGGGGGCGAAGGGCAAAGCGCTGCGATAGACGAGCTCGAGTTTTTGTTTCCTTTCTCCTTTGTGAAAACCTCAGCTGCTGCTTAAAACAAAGGCTCCAACTAAAATGACCCTGCCGCCAACCTGCTGGGCCTGGGACCAGAAGGCGGGTGGGGGAGGGAGGCACTGCCAGGGACGCCCCTGGCGGGTGGGGTGGGGCTGGCTCCTTGCTGAGACCCCGCGCCGGTCCCGTGGCCAGGAGGAGATGGGATCAGAGTCGATTGCTTGTTTGTTTCATATTAAAGCAAGCAGGTCAACGCCATATATCCATGGGTGCAAGCTGGCGGGACAATGGACTTTCAGGAGTGGACAAGAGAAGGGAGATCTCTCGGTCCGGGCCAGGTGTTTGGATGGAGGGTCCAGCGAGGTTCCCAGGCCTCCGGCAGCATCAAGGACAACTGGCTGCACTGTCCTCAGGGCGAGGCGAGGGGGGCGAGGGCCCTGCACCTCAGGCCTTGCTCTCCTCCACTTTCACCGCCCGAGGCTTAACCGCTCCGGCTCGCTTCATCTGGGGGGCAGCTGACGGGGCCTCCTGCAGCTGTGCGGCTCCCAGGCTGGGCTTTTCATCCACTCGTTTTGCCTTTGGACAGATGAACAGGGACAGAGAAGGTCAACCGTAGGCAGAAACTCGTGCCTGGATTCGCCCCCCGCACCCCCCCCCCATCCTGCTCCCAACTCCCTAACCACATCCATCCTCGGCGACAGGGCCAGGCCGGGGAGCAGCTGTCCCAGGAAGGACACGGGCAGGGACGGCCGTGTCCGACCCCGCGGCACTAAGTGAGGGCCGACACCGGCTGGGGGAGGCCTTCTGTCCAGGTCGACAGAGGACATCCGTGTGTCCATGGCCGCAGCTAAGAGCCCCCCGGGGATCCAGGCAGGCCTGGAGTCTCGAACCTCCCTGGGGGCTCTAGGCAGACTGGGCTCTCCCCGACCTCGGCCGGCTCCACACTGGAAACCTTCCCCCGAGACCCTCGTGTGGCCGTGAGGTCCCCAGCCAGGGGAGTGTCAACACAAAGCTCTGCACAGAGGCGTGTGGCTCGGGGACCGGCGCGGCCCCTCACAGCGAGCGCTAGGGAAGCTTCGGCGCCCAGCCCCAGCGAGTCCAGAGGCCTCTCGGGACTCTGGGGGGGTGGGGGGCGAGGACGGCGCGTCCGCCTCCGGCAGCGAGAGCCCCACGGCCCAGAGCAGGCAGGGGGGCGAGAGTGTGCCCGAGGCACGAAGCAGGGTTCGCCTGCCTTCCTGCCTGCACCCCGCCAACACCAGACGACAGCGGGCCCGGGGACGCACACGCTGGCCGCGCCTGACCGCGGGCCGCACGCCTGACCGCCCCCGCGCCTGTACGGCCCCATGGTCGTGGGCCGTCCCACTCCTGGTGTCCCCTCGGGGAAGCCGCATCCGGCCTTCCCTGGAGGACAAGGGAGGAGCAGACACCCGCCGGGGAGAGCGGCCTCCGCCGGGGCTGGGGCTGCCTGCTCGGCCGTGCTCCGATCGAGAGGGGCACGCGGCGGCTGGACCGCCCCTTCTCTGCGGCACTTGGGGACTGGCCTAGGGGGCGGGCGGAGGGGCTGGAAGGCCGTCTTCTACCTGTTGAACGCAGTGTCCCTGCACAGAGCCCATGTTAACTGCTGGTCCAGAGGGCTTCCCACTGGGGCTAGCAGAGCTAGGCCTGCAAAAACCAAAGGCAGGGTGAGAACACGCGCCACCGCCGGGCGAGGGGGCCGCGCCCGCTGCCGTGCCAGCTGGCGTCGCGGCCTCCGCGTGCTGAGGAAAACGAAGGCCTCGGAAAGCCAGGGCTCGGGGGCCGGGGCACCCCCACAGAGCCGGCCATGCACTCAGGGGCCCCACTCTGGGCACGCGGACGTCTCCCCGGAATGCTGGCCAGCGTGCACGCAAGGGGTCTGGCCGTGACGCTGAAGGCCGAGGGAAGGCCAACGACTCACACCACACTGCGCCAAGTGCCCGTCCACTCCCCACTCTGGGAGGGCCGCCGTGGACAGATGCCCAGGGGAGCAGAACGCCTAGCGTCTTCTCGAGTGGGCCCGGAGGTCATTAATTAGGCGCTGCACAAGGAGCAGCCTCTGGTGCCAAGTGTGGAAACCCTGTGCAGAGCTCAGCGGGACGGGCTGGGCGCCTCGAGGAGGAGCCTGCTTCCTCAGAGCCGCCCCACGCAGGGCCTTGTGCCCGCGGGGCGCGGCTGGACGCCCCTTTTCTAGAAACATGAGCAAAACTGCTCTACACAAGCACACCGGCTCTCCAGCCCAGCAGAACACCGACGACACCGCGGCCGCCACTGACCCTGCCCAGACGGCGCCCAGGAGCACGCCCGCTCAGCCCCGCCTCGCTGCGGCCGGGCCGGGCGGGGCCTCGTTCGCGGGGGCCGCCCGCCCCCCCAGCTGTACTCATGGTGCAGGGCCACGCCCCACTTTCCCCTCACAACTCTACTGTTTCGGCCAACGTGAAAAATACAGACTCTCAAACAGGAGCTGAAGCCGAGTAAGCGGAAGAGCAGGAGGCGACGGGGCGGGATTGGGTCCGGGAAGCCCTGGCCTCTGCGGCGTGGAGGACGCGGCCGGCAGGCGCCGGGGA